TATACCCTAGTGGCCTAGCAGAGGCGTGTTCGCGCCGCTCGCGAATCTGCACGCCCGCTGGTTGTTAACCCTGGCAAGAGTCACGTCAATGAGGAAATCAGCGGGCGATGATGGGGTCACTTATTCAGGTTTGGGGCCGCTTCACGTGATTTTTTTTCCTGTCTGCACCAATGACCACCTCTACTTTGATCCACAAGAACCTGCTTTTTCACCGTGAACTGTGCCTTTAAGTTTAGAATTGTGCGTGCTGTCACAGCGGCAAGCCTTGAGCGGCTTTCATGTTCTTACACAGACGCATCGTGACAGCATGCATGCTTAACGGATACGCAGAGTTTCTAATATCGTCGCGTTGTAGGGTTTGATGTTCCTTTCATCCTCTACGAGAAATTCACAATGTTGCTAACAAGCGGACTTCTTCACTATGGATTTCAAATCGCAATTCGTTGTCAATAATTCATCGAGATGTATGTTTGACATTGCTTAAGATCTTACCTTGTGATTTGTACAAATCGCATTGGATCGATTTTTCCGGTATAAACACCTCGATCCCATACCACACTCATGCGATCCTCGACACCGTTCACACCATTGGGAATTTTCGTGAAATCATCACGGCCAACTAATTTTTGTTGACAATTAAAAGTGCAGTTGTCGGTTCCGGTCAGGTGTAGTTCACCACTGAAAATGATCAGTTTATTGTCTAAAAATTGCGGTACTGAGAAACACCGGTCCTTGTCAAGAAAACGCTGCCAACCATATCCATGAGAGAACTGGAGTCGACGGATTCTCGCCGCTCAACGGTGGAGACTGACGTATCTGAGCGTCCATGCACCCAGTCCTTGAAAATCAGCCTTTCATGAGTGTAAGCTGGACACAGTACATAAAAAACGCAAGCACCTTCATGCACACATGACAACCTTCGAGACCTAAATCTCTATCTTCTATTGTATGAACTTCCTCGCTAGACTCCACCCATGCACTAGACCCCAGAGTTGATTGAATGGTACCCAAGGGAGAAAAACAAGGCCCATACGTAGACCCCCCACCGATTGGCCGACCCTTTCGTAAAATTGTACGGCCAACTCTGGTGCAGAAAAGCCGGAAGCACAGCGGCTTGGAAAATCCGCGACCTGCGTTTCTGGCGTGCCCGGCAAGAATAACGGTCGAGAAGTAAGGTAAGTAAATAAACTTAAGCGTGTCGGATTTACTGTGCCTTTAAGTTGACAATTGTGCCATCTGTCACAGTGGCAAGTCTTCAGCGACTTTCATGTTCCTACACAGACGCTTCGTGAAAGCGGCATGCATGCTTAATGGATACCGCCAGAGTTCTACTATAGCCAACTTGTAAGTTCTGATGTTCCTTTCAATCTCCCCAATAATATTACAAAGTTGCTAACTAACGGACTTGTTCACTTTGGATTGCAAGACGCAATTCATTGCCAGTAGTTCAGTCGATATGTGACGTTCGTTAGGTACTCACCTTGTGATTTGTACAAATCGCATTGGATCGATTTTTCCGGTATAAACTCCTCGATCCCATACCACACTCATGCGATCCTCGACACCGTTCACACCATTGGGAATTTTCGTGAAATCATCACGGCCAACTAATTTTTGTTGACAATTAAAAGTGCAGTTGTCGGTTCCGGTCAAGTGTAATTCACCACTGAAAATGAACGATTCTTGTCAAGAAATTGGAGACTGAAATGTGCTTCTTTATAGACGAAAACCTACGCTGCCAACATATCCATGAGAGCATCTGGAGTCGACGGATCTCGGCTCAACGGTGGAGACATGACGTACTGAGCGGCATGCACCCAGTCCTTGAAAATCAGCATTTTATGAGTGCAAGCTGGACACAGTACAAGAAATACGCAAGCACCTTCCTGTACCCACAATAAGCTGTGGAATCTAATCCCTCTATTATATGAACCTTCCTTGGCTAGACTCACCCATGGTCACTAGACCAAGAGTGATTGGCTGGTACCGAAGGGGGAAAACAAGGCCCACTGGCAGACCCCCACCCGATTGGCAGACCTTTTCCTAAAATTGTACGGCCAATCTGTGGCGCAGAAGAGTCCGAAGC